AGAGTAGTAGCCAAACCCAAAAAAAAAGTCTTACTCTTTATCTCCAAGATAAAACTTGATAATTATCTCCAATTTTAAATTTGATTTTGAAACAAAATCTCTCTCCCTTATCCACATGTCAATTTTGACTCAAATACAAATTTCAATTTAAGTCAAATTTAAATCAATTTGAATTTCAAATTGGACAACTTATCAAATAAGTTAATTGGATAACTTGAGAGCAAGCAACTAAATCCTAGAGATTCACATTATGTTGTACGTTCACACCATGTGAACACCTTCACATGTGTGTTTCAAAATTCAAATTTAAATTTCAACTTAAATAATCACATTATTGAATTTATAATTAATTCTCAATTAATTATCCTTTAGCGTTTTATTTTAGAATTTTAAAATTCCCATTTTGCCCCTAGTGTCTTGTAGAATTACAAAGACGATGCGGGGACTAATGGACTTATAATTTCAAGCTCTAATAAAATAAATAATTAATTAAACTCTTTAATTAATTAATTAATTCTAGTAATTTTAAAAGTTACTCACTATAAACTTAGAATTGCATTCTCGTAATTATAGACATAAATTACTTCTAAACTGTGAAGTATCCATTTGATATAGTCATTACATATAGATCAATTCTCCATAAATAATTCATAATTAGAGCTAGCTGAAATCCGTTAACCTCTCTAATTACATCTTTATACTTGAGTACCATTGGTTCTCTAATGGACAGTGATTCATAAATAAATTTATGAATCGTAACTTCTACTGGTCTAAGTACCGAATCAACCTCAAGATAATTATTTATGTAATTCTTTCTCAAGAAGGAATAGATTCCATCTCGTATAATAACATTCTCGGCTACTAACTTCATCATGTCTCTGAAATACAAGAATAGGACTCATGATCTCATAATCCGTATCGAGTAAATCAAAATACACAAATTCATAAATAGGAGTATGCTAAGAACTCATGATTATGATCATTCTATATATGACTATCGGTAAACTCAATTAGAATTTCTATACTTAACAGAAATTATCAGAAATTCATATTGTGTCGTTGTAGTATAGTGGTGAGTATTCCCGCCTGTCACGCGGGTGACCCGGGTTCGATCCCCGGTAACGGCGCGAAAAACTTGTTGCGTGATTTTTATGCTTTCATGTGCACATGTCGCAGACAAGTAATAAAGTGTACAGAGTACGAATATCGTCCCACAGAGAATGAATCACCAAGTGTACATGCAGAAATCAACTAGTTTACTCGTTAAGAATGATAAAAAGTTAACTGTTCAAAAATTACACAATTGATTTAAATGCTGAAATGTAAATAAATTGTAAGACAAGATTAACCAGAAGATCAAAAATGCTAAAATGGAGTGTATGTAGTGAAGTGAATAAGCTAGACCTACTAATTTCCTGCTATAGCATTTAAACGTCCTGTTAACAGAAACTCATTTATTGTGCATAAGATTCTTCTGAAGTCTTTATATCTACAGATTCCTCAACCATTTTCAGCATATTCCTATGTGAATCTAGTTTTAGAATGCAAATTAAGCTCTGATTTCTCTATGTTATGTAAGATGAACAATATATTTCTATACTATTCACAAATCAACAAACAAAAACAAGATTATTGAACTTGTATCATCTATGTTAGATCCAACTAAAATTAACCTTTCCAGTATTAATATTAGTCTTGTATTCTATGATCGATGGCCAGTCAAAAACAGAAATAAGCATTAAGCATACATAGATGAACAGGAAATAGAGTTAATCAACATTCCCCAAGCAACCATCATCCTTACAACCTCGGTTCCATTAGCAGATCTAGCTTAACAAATTAGTTCATAATGGTAATTACAGAAACTAGATTTCCAGAATAATACATGGTAAAATTTATATCCAAATAACAAATGAGAATTAAGCTAACAGATAGAAGAAAGAATTTTTGGCTGGATCTTGGATTTCTCTCTTGTCCAGCCTTCCTTCCTTCAGCTATTTGCATTCTCTCTTCTCTCACGTCTCTGTAGTCTATTTTTCTGAAGGAGAGGTACTCTGTGTATTGTATATTTTTCTTTTCAGCCATGGTGCTGCCTTTTTTCTCTCTATTCTGTGCTCTCTGCCTTCTTTCTATTTTTCTCTTCTTGTACTTGGCGGCTATTCTCATTTTGCAGAAAGTATTTCCTTCTTAGGGCAACAAAAGGGCCGAGGTGTCAATTGATAGGGGCTGAAGTGGTCCACACTGTTGTACAACTCAATTAGCTCACATGGGTCTTTTGTCATTTTCCTCCAGGTAGTGCGCTGATGTCATACCATTTGCTAGCTGCACCCAGAATGCTACTTAAATGTTGTAGCATAGTCATAGCATTCTCCATGCAATTTGCAAAATCACAACTTAGGCATATTTCAACCTCTTTTTGACTCAAATAACTCCTTTTTAACTCGAGAGCAGCACAAGTACATAACTCAGCAAGATAAAATGCAAAACCAGAAAATCTAAGTTAAAACACAGAGAAAACAATGAAATACACTCTTGGTTAAGCAAACTTTAAGCTAAAAATGCATAAGATAACTCTAATTTCTTAGAGTTATCAGTCATTGTTCCACATAATCTCATTATGGGTAATACACTCATTTAATATCTCACCATATTAACGGTGTGGTTAACACTGTTCCATTCTAAATGGGAATGACCTGTATGAGTAATGTTTTAATTAAAGATTTCAAACTTTAATTAAATTCATTACGAACATCGTCTTGATCATTATCCTTAAATATTATCTTCTCGCATATAACACTTATGTACAATATTTAAGGTCACATACATAATCGTGGAATTTTCACTGATATATATAAAATATTCATTAATATATGCACAAAAAATACTGAATAAACTCTTTTATTAAATAAATAATAAATATCCTATTACATCTCATACTTCTATGACACCATTCCCAACAGGGAGATCTAAAGGTATTTGTGTTGACAAATGCCACGTTTCTAGATCAAATTCAAAACTAAATAAAGTCGAAGTTAAATTTCCTTTTGAATTTGATTGGAAAACTTGTTAAACAATTACCGGATAACTTAGAGAGTAAGTAACTGAATCCTAAAGGGATTCCCCTTGTGCCACCCGCCCCCTGCACCTCCTTGTGCCAGGACATGTGGCCTCCTGTGGTCCCACTACAGTGTGTTCCAAAATTAATTTAATTAAATAATCACATCATTTATTTCGAGTGATATTTAATCCCAATAATTCACCTTGTCTTGTAAATATTACAAGTATGACGTAAGAACTCATGAACTTGTAATTCCGAGCTCCAATAAAATTAATAATTAATTAAATTTTTTAATTAATTAATTAATTTTATTAATTCTAAAAAGTTTCTCCACTAAATACTTGGAATTGCACTCTCAAAACTACAGACCTAGGCCTCATTCATTTCGCCAATTTGAGTTTTCAGTTCTAAGTTTCTAGAGTTAAAAGCTCTTAAAAAATGTCACATATAACTTTTTTTACTACAGTTAAAAGCTCCCATAAAATGTCATATTTCAGTTTAAATTGAAAACTCAAATCCGCAAAGCTAACAAGGTCATAATTTACTTCCAAGAACTTGAAGTGTCCATTTGATATAGTCACTACATATAGATCAATCCTCCATAAATAATTAATAATTAGAGTTATGTGAAATATGTTAGCAATCTCGAAAGCTGTACCAAGTAAGTCAAAAGACACAAATCTATAAATATGAGTTTACTAATAACTCATGATTGAGATCGTTCTATATATGACTATCCGTAAATTAAATTCAAATTTTTATATATAACGGAAATTATAAAAAATTCAAATCGTTTCTTTATCCCAATTCCACATAATCTTATTATGCATAATACACTCATTCAATATCCCTCTATATTAATAATGTGGATAATACCATTTCATTCTTAATGAGAATGACGTGTATTAGTAATGTTTTAATTAAAGATTTCGTAGTTTTAATTAAAGATTTCGTAACTTTAATTAAATTCATAACGAACATTATTTTGATTATTATTCTTATATATTATCCTCTCGTATATAACACTTATATACAATATTTAAGGTTACATAAATAATCGTGGAATTTTCAATGATATTAATATAATATTTAATAATATATACACATAAATAACGAAATTTCTCATTTATCAAATAAATAACAATATCTTTTTATTATATCTCATACTTTTAGGATAACATTCCCAGCATACATAACGCTGAACAAAAATAATTTGGGCTTTATAACTTATGTAAGTGGTGTTTATCCAAACTAATTGCTTGTTTAGTTTGAGGGTTTAAATTGGGTGATTTGAAACTGAATTTAAATTTTGTGAGAGAAAGCACTTAGCAGAACTTTTTAAATTTAAAATTTTTGTGAGAAAAAACATTGTTTGAACCAAAATTAAGGTTGTTTTAACCCTGAAACCAAACGTGCACTAAAGGATTGAAAGCAAAAAGCCATGAAAACTAACTCCCCCTTTAAAAAGACGTATTTAACCTAATTTTCTTGTTATCAGGTTTGATTAATTGTAACTTTTGAACTGTATATGTGCGTATTGGTGCACGTACGAATTGGATGTTTAACACCCTTGTTTATATATTTATAGTTTCTTACGGGATTTTTTTTTTTTTTTGGTGTCAGATATATTAGATCATTCATCTGATAATATAAAAAAAAAAAAAGTACTGTGATGAATTCTAACAGTTGCATAGGCAAATTTTAATACTGGATAGAAGGTTATTTGACCATCACAATTTCATCATTCTAAAAACAAAATGCAATAATATATAGAAATACATTAACTTACATGCGAGTGTATATATGTTCCCAGTTTGTTATAGCACATATCATCATGATTTTTCTATTTCTTTAATAGAATCTATAAACCAGTATTCTTAGATATGGTCATGTTTCAATTGAACTGTGGATTAAAGAAAGGGGAAAGATGGTCTTGATAATGTCACATAATGGAGCAATATGCATGTACATTGTCATCGCTGAAGAGATGAACGGTTTGATCGTCGACCGTTGAGTACGCCTGGTCTGGGAAGTATCCGTGCACGCCCTCATTATATCCATGTCTGTAATAGTTATACGACGATGTATAAGTTGATTCGTCTAAGTACTGTGAGGCGTAAGGATAGTATTCACTGTCGTATGGAAATGGCCAAAACTCTGCCTTCCTTCCAGTTCTTCTCACCATCTTTAAGACCTTCCTTTTGTCTACATATCCGGTTACAGTCACTTTTTGCTTATCCATGTCTATCTCAAAGCTATCAACTCCTGCATATAAATAGGTCATTTTTTGATGGAATTGTGATCTAGGATGACTATGATAATATGGATACATTATACATATGCTGATGTCTATGAACACATGCATGTGCGCATGGGCGAGTTTTAAATAATTGTCTCTCATTACTGGTTACCTAACAAATATAGAAATTTGATTATGTAGTGTAATAAAAATCTTATTTTATTAATTGTCATATATTTTTTTTTTATCAACTGCCTAATTAATTTCAACAGTCTGATCAATATTGAACCATCAAAATAATTTTTACCCGCTAATGGAGAAAAATACCATAAAAACCACAGCCATGTATATATATAATAAGCACATAGAAGTTTGATCATAATAATTTATGATCAGGTGATTATTGTAAGTGTCTAAGAGGTTTTACAATTTTGTGTAAAGAACAGTAATTACACTTCTGCTTACTTTGAGACTCCTAATCGATCTCTACATACTAGTAGGGATGGCCATCTTGTTAGCGTGAGCTGTCCAGCCTGGATACAAGAGGGATTTGAGGATCAATGAGTTGACTTCAATTCCACAATACTTGCAGCATGATTATAGAAGATAATAACCCAAAATAGTTGATAGTTTCCTAGAATAATTTGATTTGTCTTTTCTTACTAAGAATAGTATAAATAGACATTTCTAGAGTAGTCTCTCTGTAAATGTATATAGTAGCTTTTTCCTCTCAAAGTTTCTTTATGGTATCAGAGCGTAGATTCTAGGACCTATAGAACACGCGAGAAAAAAAGAAGAAAAAGAGAGAGTGGAGGAGAAGGAATGGATGATTCAATTGTGGTGGCGCAAGATTCATCAGAAGAGAGTGTTGCTATGACAGAACTGGCAACCCAGATGGCACGGATGCTGAACCAGACTCAGATCCAATCTTCAAGCAATGAATCGGCAGGACAGATCGGAGTGAAACTTGATGGAACCAACTATGCTTTGTGGTCTCAGGTGGTTGAGATGTACATTGCAGGCAAGGATAAACTCGGGTATATAAATGGGGAATTGCATTAACCTCAAGAGACAGACCCGAGTTATAAAAAATGGAGGACTGAAAACGCCATTGTGAAAGGATGGCTGATTAACTCTATGGACCCGAGTCTGATAGGAAATTTTATCAGATTTCCAACGGCAAAGGTAGTGTGGAACAACATAGCCACGACTTATTTTGATGGAGCTGACACCTCACAGGTTTATGAACTCAAGAGTCAGGTGATGAGACTTAACCAAGGAGGAGGATCCATTGAAACTTACTACAACAATCTCCAAGGATTATGGAGGGAGATTGATTTCCGACGACCGAACCAGATGGAGTGTGAACAAGACATAGAGAGGTATAATTCTATTGTGCAAGAAGATAGAGTTTATACCTTCTTGGATGGGCTAGATGACCGTCTCGATAAGATCCGAGGTGATGTACTCCACATGAGACCATTCCCCACCGTAGAGCAGGCATACGCACACGTCCAGAGGGAAGACATGAGGCAGGCAGTCATGATGACCAAAGGAAACTTCACCAATGGAGCCGCGATGCTTTCTAAAGGAGGACAGAAATCGCAGGGGCTGCATATGATAGCAGGAGACAAGCAGACGAAGGCTAGGCCACAAGGGGAAGGGGACTGTACACACTGTGGGAACACGAAGCAAACTAAAGAAACATGTTTCAAGTTACATGGATATCCGGACTGGTGGCATGAACTTAAAGCAAAGAAGAAACGTGTTTCTAGTGCAAGCGAGAAACCTGGCTGAGCATTACTTGCAGACACAGAATCACAGTTGCATCTTTCACTTGTACCACGAGGAGAGTCTTCCTCAAGAGAATCTGAAACTCTGAATGATCTAGGTAACAGTGGATGTGTTATGTTTTGCTCTAACTAGGAAAATTGCCATAGTTGGATTGTTGATTCAGGGGCAACCGATCACATGACAAATGATCCACAAGATTTAATCAAGCCTACAGAAAAAAGAAGAACCTGTATCTCCAATGCTAATGGAGTCAAGTATCTGGTAGATGGGGCTGGAACAGTTGCACTCTCACCCTCCTTGTTGTTGACAAATACCTTACTTGTTCCATCCCTTACAAGTAAACTAATTTCGGTAGGACAAGCAACTGAGGAATTAAATTGTTGTGCGTTAATGTACCCTACGTTTTGCTTGTTTATGGGGGGGGGGGGGGGGGGGGGGGGGGCTATTACTACATGGATGATTTTAGTCTTAGCAGAGTTAATAATGTGCGGCAGATTAATTACAGGAGATGACAAAGAGGAAATTCAAAGGCTACAGGAGCATTTAGCCTCTGAATTTGAGATGAAGAACCTTAGGTCCTTAAAGTATTTTCTCGGCATTGAAGTAGCTAGGTCAAGTCAAGGTATCTTCCTGTCACAAAGAAAGTATGTACTCGATTTATTATCAGAGACTGGAATGCTTGACTGCAAGCCTGTAGACACTCCAATAGTTCAGAACCATGGCTTGAAAGAGGACTCAGACCGAGCTCCTACCAACAAAGGAAGATATCAGCGTCTTGTAGGAAAGCTGATTTACTTATCCCATACTCGACCTGACATTGCATACGTTGTGAGTTTGGTGAGTCAGTTTATGCACTGTCCTAGTGAGGAGCATATGAATGCTGTTATTCGAATCCTTCGGTACTTGAAGGCAGCGCCTGGAAGAGGACTCATGTTTAAGGAAAATAACCATCTTAAGATTGATGGCTATACTGATGCAGACTGGGCAGGGAGTATCACTGATAGAAAATCTACATTAGGATACTTCACTTTTGTGGGAGGGAACCTGGTTATTTGGAGGAGTAAGAAGCAGAAAGTGGTTACACTTTCCAGTGCAGAGGCCGAGTTTAGAGGAATGGCTAAAGGCTTGTGCGAGCTGCTATGGTTGAAGAGGTTACTAGAAGAAATTGGATATCCATCCGAGTCTCCAATGAATATGTTTTGTGATAACAAAGCAGCAATAGAGATAGCACATAACCCAGTTCAACATGATCGTACAAAACATGTAGAGGTGGATCGACACTTTATCAAACAGAAGCTTGAGGAAAAAATTGTTCAGTTCCCGTTTGTAAAGTCAGAAGATCAGTTGACAGATATACTCACAAAAACAGTTCCTACCAAGGCATTCTATAGCTCACTAGACAAGTTAGGCATTGATGATATCTATGCACCAACTTGAGGGGGAGTGTTAGCATGAGCTGTCCAACCTGGATACAAGGGGGATTTAGGATCAATGAGTACAATATATGCAGCATGATTATAGAAGATAATAACCCAAAATAGTTGATAGTTTTCTAGAATAGTTTGATTTGTCTTTTCTTACTCAAAATAGCATAAATAGACATTCCTAGAGTAATCTCTCTGTAAATGTATATAGCAGACAAGTGTATTACCTTTACGTATGATAGAATACAAAAGTAGCTTTTTCCTCTCAAAGTTTCTTTACATCTTACCCACAGGAATATTTACGGGTACCCGCTCTTAATAAGGCGGGTATGGAGGATATTATATAGAGATGGAGACGGGTATTACGGGCAAGAATTAGCTTCCGATTTGGAAGTGAGGCAGGGGTAGGGAAAACTCGTTTAGATTTAATTTTTAGATTTTAGTTTGTTATTGTTAGAGTTTAGATTTGGCATTAAGATTTCAATTTATTTTTATAACATACTAATAGTCATGTTGCTTAATTTTCTAATTAATTTAATGGAATTTTATTTGAAGTTTGATAATGTTGCAAGCATTTTTAAAATTTTTAATGGGTAAATGGATAGGTTATGAGAATAGCTACTCCTTAAATTAAATGGATATGGAGACGGACATGGAAGACAAAAGGAGAGTTGGGTATGGGGAGCATACCCATCCCCGCCCTTCCTCATTGCTATCCCTACATACTAAATTGATTCTCATTTTCCCCACTAACGAAACGTTTTGTTTGTGGTTTCTTTTTTTATTTTATTTTTTTTTAACTTTTTTCCCTTTTTTTTTTTTTTTTTTTTTTTTTTAACTTTCCATCTCTGTTTATGTTTTCCTCCCTTTTTTCTGCTTACCTTTTTTTTTTGTCACCTCTTTTTTCATTTTATCATTTTTCCCTGTTACACATTTTTTTTTTCCACTCGAATTCTCAGTTTAAATAATTTATTTTTATATATATCCCTGTCTAAATTTTTCTAAAACCTAGTGAACGAAATGCTTCGTCCCAAGTTTTTTTTTTGTTTTTGCTTTTTTTTTTCTTGTCCTTCCTTTTTTTTTCTTATTTACCTCTTTTGATCCTTCATTTTCATTTCCTCTCACTTTTTTACTCTTTTTTTTTGTTGGTTCCCCTAACATTATACAAAAGAAAATATTCATGGGTCAAATAAAGATAATGCCGTTTAAAATAGTATATGTAATAAGAGTAAGACTAGGGATACCAACTCAAATCTTAACTTTGTGCACCAACTTACATGGCAATGAGTTGTCAATTTTTAATTGGTAGATGCAATCTAATGTCATTAATTGACGTGCCAATATTTTAAATACCTACTAGTGTAAAAATGATAACTCACATGTCACATCAATTGGTACACAAAAGTTGAGATTTAAGTTAGTATTCCTAGCATTATTTATGTAATAAATAGGAACTATTACAAAAGTAATCGTGTGTTCTAAGAAATGACAAAATAATTTTTTTCAAATGAACAATCACATAAAATACTCTAGAAATTCTCAAAATTTTAAGAATGAAAAATGCAACTACCCTTAAGAATAGTACTATTTTTAATAATTTCATTCTAACAATAAAAAATATTAAAAGAATAAAAGGAAAAAAGTGGGCTTTCAGCTAGAAAAAGATGGTAATGCCCTAGGGCAGGTTGCACCCATTTTAGATATTTGTTCTTTCTTGAATTAATTTTTTTAATATTTTTTTAGATATATTTTCTATGTATTTAGTGTTTGTAATTTTTATATATACCAATAGCAAAGAATAATGTAGATCTTCTTAATTTACTGCAAAATCAATTATATATGTAGAATTTTATTTTGTGGATGAAAAATAATGTAGGTGAGCAAATATAAGAATCAATGAGGATATAGTAATAGTAATTACAGATGAACGATAACAGCTAGCTATATATTATAGGTAAATATATATATATATATATAGTCTTGCCTTCAATTTTGGAGATTGCTCTTCGAATCCTCTTTTCACAACCCTCACAGTCCATATGCACCAACAACTCCACAATCTGATTAAAAGAAAAAAAAAAAAAAAAACACGCGTTTGTATTAAAAAGAAATAATACTTCAAAAGTGAAAATTTTTAAACTCATGATATGAAGCTTTAAGATTGAGAAAAGTTAATCGAACTCATTAAGATGTTACTAGTTAGAGATCTAAAAACACTTACGGACATGGCATTAAATACTTTTCCCTTCTTAGATGGCAAGCCAAACATCATGCTATTGCGAAGGTTCCTCCAAGCTAAACACCTGAAAGTATAATTGTTCTTAGTTCCTTGGTCTTTATACGTATATCTTCTCCAAAAAAACCCAACTACTTTTGTTTCTTTTGCAAGCACGAAATATATGTAACTTTTCTATTTTATGGAGAACTACACGGTAGCTTGTGTTGGAAGCTCATATATATATATATATATATATATATACATATATATGGAAGGCTGTACATGTGAGTGCACAAATGTCAGAATACGCACATTTTTTATGTGTCAATTAATTTACCGAATTTTTTAATGAGATTTTTTGGTCTGAATAATTAGGCCGTATATCTCTTATTAATGATCTTACTAGTATCGTGTTTCTAAAAGTTAAATGGTTTGTTATTTATAAGTGGGACTCAATTTAGTCAACAATATATCTAATGTTTAATAATTACATAACAACATATATATATATATGCTATAAACCCTATACGAATATTATGACAAGTTGAAGGTGGGTTGTCAGACGAATCTATACTCATCTTGATACCTTCTATCCTTTTGGCTGCAATCCTGAGTAGTACATCGTAAAACTTTGCTATAATTTGCAAAAATTAATTCGTTTTGCCTTATTCTTGCAGCCTGTTAGCTATTAAAATTTAAGTCCACAATAAAATTGCGAAAGAAGCTGAATTTTCTGATAAGATTTTGATGATATATGCCAACCATTTGGTCTCATACCAGATTCTGTGGAACTCAGGCATATTTGCCTTTGTTTTGTTCCAAAGAAAGTGACATATATGATATAATCTGGTGATGTGTAGCTATATTATATGCATAACCGCTTATGTTTTGTGATGTCTAGCGAGCGCCTCTAGCCTAATTAAAGTTTGATCTGCATACGTCTCTTGCATGTTTATGAACCATTGTTACGTTTCTTTCTAATATCAATTACTCTCCCTCCTCATTATTAAGAAGTCTTATTTGATGTACCTAATTTGAAATGTAAATAATAATGACAAGTGTTTGCTACCATACACAAGCTCATTAGGTATTGATACCTTCGATATACATTTTAGGACTTTTTAATTGCAAATTTGTTGTGGCCAGTTTTAGATCAAGGCCAAGTTTGGCTTTTTTTTATCTCCCTTCCAATACTTGACCTATCAATTGCGATAAGACAATGAGAATTATTTTTTCCTTATTCCTTTGGGCGTCAACAGGAGCAAATTGAGTCTGAAGGGCTGGTTTCAAGGGGGAATATAAGAAATTTTGGAAAGCAATGTTTGGAATGTCATTTTGGCATAACGATTTTATGCGGTGGGCTTTTGGAAGGCTAATGGAATGTATAGCTTCACAACCATTTAGAGGGCCACCTCCTTGGGCAGCATCTGTAGCTTCTATAGCTTTCATAACTAAAAGGGAAATTTATGTACACATAGTGCCAGTTTAGTAGTGTTGTAAATTTTAAAAAAATTAGTGTTAATTGTGCTGAAAAAAGCAGATGTTATAAAAAATAACTAAGTGTTCGATAAGCTATTATCATATAAGTATTGATTCTAGGGGTATTATGGGTATTATGAAAGTTTCATTAATTGTATTTCAAGGTGATTGCCGTACAATCTAAAAGTCAAAGTTGTCTTTGAGCTGCTAATACAAGGTGATTGCTGTACAATCTAAAAATCAAAGTTGTCTTTGAGCTATTTTTGACTATAAATTCTTTAAAAATTCTTTAACAATGAGTGTTTGTCTATTCACTACAAGAAAAGAGCAGCACACGCCCCCGGGAATCCTTGCCTTCTGATGATCCGGGACGTCCTTCCATTTTGCTATGGAAGGGCTCCCTCATTTGGATTCCAACCACTCCGTCAAAGGACGAAGCGTATTTACCGACTGATCTCATTGTGTCACCAGTCGTGTCCCGCTTTATAAGTAATGACCCACATAGCTGGAGCAATCGGCCGATATTTAACGCCCTTCACTCTTGCCTACCCTTTTTCTTTCGGCGGGCAGGCAGTGCTACATATTATAAGTTTATCAATATAAATTCGTACTTGATTAAATATAAGTGAAATGTAAACTATAAATTATACCTGACTCGCAATGCCTACCCTTCATTGACTGACTTTTCTAATTTCTTTTCAACTTTAGCCTATAATTTCTTAAACTTTTTAAAAGTTTCAAATTTCTTTAACATTAGATAATCACAATCATATTTTGAATAATCATCAATGAAGGTGACGAGATATTCATATATGCACCTCATGCTTGGACTAGTAATGGTCCACATACATCCGGCTGTATCAACTCAAGAGGCCCTTGGCTCTCTCACCTTTGGTTGAGAAAAATCTCATCTTACCTTCCAAACATGATTCATAGACAAGGAGTTAACTAACTTTTAGTTCACTTAAATGACCATCATTCTCAATTATTTCTATTATGTTTAGGTTAATATGACCAAATTTAAAGTGCCATATATACGTATTATTTTCATGAGAAATCTTTTGCTTCTGATTTTTAGGTTTGACAACTTTGAACATTTTAATATTAAGCAGTAAGTCAGGTATGAGTTTAACAAAATATAAACCATCTTTTAAATTTCTAGAACAAAGACTTAAATCACTTCAAAAAATATAAACTAATTCATTATTAGAAGTAATTGAAAAGATTGTTCAAACAACTTAGAAATAGAAATTAAATTTCTCTTAATGCGTGAAATAAAATAAACATTGTTAAAAAACTAAGTAATTATTATTCTTAAAATGAAGTCCAACATCTCCTACTATTTTGCCAATACTCATGCGCCATTGTCCATTTTTATCATGTAGTCCCCAAACACAAGCTCTCTGTATGAGTTAAGGCTCTGCAATAAACAATAAACAATGTTAGTTGCTCTCAAATCAACTATATGGATAAGGTATCATCCCCTACTAAGTATGTTTCAAGAATTACATCATATTTACCTTGATTTTTTCTTCTTAATTAGCTTCTTAAGATACCTCCTACAGTTTTTTTCCAATGACCTTCTTGGTTGCAGGGGAAACTCTTTCGCTCAACCTTCTGTTGGAGCCCTTGTCACTCTTCTTGGCTTTATATTTCTTACTCTCGACTTGGTCTTGCCCTTATTCCTGTTCTTCCTCTTAATTTTTAGAAGAACTCTCAACTGCACCAACATTTACTTCACCTCTCTTTCCCTTATTAATGTGTTTGAAGTTTTGCAAAGCATTCAACAGTTAAATAAGATTCGTATTCATTTTGTTCACAACAAAATGAGTCTTAAACTATAGGAACGGGAAAGGGAAACTCTCCAAGATCATCGCCACTTCAGTGGCTTTCATCAATGTATGCACCATTAATCTCTGCCTCGTAGAGGTGGTTAATCATTGTTCAAAACATGTGCACGTACCAGGCTTCATCCTTTCATTCATGAAAGTCCTAACAACATTAAAGGGAGCCTTCTCAGATGAAGCTCTGAATACAGAATCGAGTGACTACATTATCTAATAAGCAGTTTTTATCTTTTCATACTTATGAAGCACTTCACTCATGCTAGCTAACTTGTTGCTCTTGGTTATGTTGTTAGCCCTAATCCATCACTCATATGCTTCTTTAAAAGCAATGCTAAACGGATGGCAATGTGCTTCCAGCTTTTCCTTTTACTTATTTCAATTTTTTTTTTCTATTTATGCCCATTTGATTCGTTGGTTTGAATTTTATTGATCTAAATTGTTTTTAATAGAAAAAATCGAACAATGTGGTTTAAATTGTAGTTTGAATTGGGGTTTGGACGTACAGTTAAAATTTTAATTTGAATCATAAATAAAATTTAAATTTGTGTTTGATAGATGTGAATGGGAGTGACTACCTCTTTACTGTTCAAAAGTAGTTTGAACTGTTGAAGCTAAACTTTAAGGGCTTATTTAGTTCGTGCGTTTGAAATCATATTCTGATTATACTGTAGTATTTTTCTCTCACAAAAATATGAATAAGAAAAAGTTTCCGCCAATGGTTCTCTTACAAAATTTAAATTTAGAATCAAAATTACTAACTTAAATACATGAAATAAATGGGCCATAAGTTGGAAAATTTAAATCAATTTAATCATCAATTAATTAGGAGTGTGTGCTTGCACTCACCATTCAACTCAGTTGAATTAAACTAAACGAGTAAAATAAAAGAGAATTATCTTTGTCCTCATTTGGTTCACTGGTTTGAATTTTATTAGTTTCAACTTTTATATTTGAACAGAAAACTTCAAATAATGTAGTTTGAATTGAAGTTCGAATTGATATTTAGATATATAATTAAAATTTTAATTTATATAAAGAATAAAATTTAAATTTATAAGTATAAGAAATAGAGAGAATAAATACATATTTATTGTTTAAAAATAATTTAAACATACTTAAAAGGTAGTTAAACTCATTAGGTAGTTTAACTCAATTTAAGTTGAGAAAATAATTCAAATTATATCAAATATGAGTTTAAATTGTGCACACCGTTGAAGTGAATTACACTAGTAAAACGAATGGGGCTTTAATCCTTCGTTTATACCAGGAGGATGCACGCCATAGACATCCCAAAGTCACCAAATTTTTGTTACCGGAAACGGAAAGCTCAGAGAAAGAAGAGAAAAATCGAAGAACGCAACACTAAATTGGTGATGGCAACAGCTGTTCTTTGATTTCGAGGTTAGTGTGTTTCTTCTTTTCCCATTTCTTCTTCACATCGAAAGACCCAAACCAATTCTAACTTTTCTTTTGTGAAAATAAGTTCTCTGCAAGTATTGATTCTTTGATCGGATATAACGATTTCGCGACTTAAATTGTTTTCTCTACTTTGAAACGAAAAAATTTCCATGATTTTTGTGAAAAGGATGTTCGGTTTGGACTTATTAATTTCAGATTTATATATTGAAAGTGGAAGCTGAATGATCATGTAAATTTAGAGGTTCTTTAATATTGATGGTGGAGATGATTGGAATTTTGACAATTTGTTGGGTTTGTCGCTGAAATAGTTAAAGGAAGAGGAGGGAACAAAAAGAATAAAAAAATAAAGCCAAATAGAGAAACATTATCGTAATGTTCTTGATCAATTTTTAAGTGGTTGCTCCAATTGGGTTGGAGCTCCCCCAAGGATTGATTCTATGAAACTAGAAGATCTGATAAAAAAGAAGAAATATCAGATAGATTTTTTTTCCCCCTCTCGTTTAGTTTTCGTTTGTGTAGTCCATATTTATTAGGCTGTAAAGAGGCTCCTGTATCCATTGCTTGGACTATTTTAAAACGATTTTAATGCATCTTAGGTTGCTAAAGACTGAGACTTATAAAATTTTCAAAATGTTAAACTAGATGGAATAAACTAGATGACCTAGACTCTTAAGAGGCCAATTTGAACTGTAAAATTAAATGGTGCCATGCTCTACAACTGATTATGCTTCTAACTTCTGATATTCGGATCCCATCTAATTTGCTTTTAATTTCGTTTGAAACACATTTTTCAGGAATACTTTTTTGCGATTGTAAAATCCGCTGAGGTTGAAATCGGTGAGACTCCTAATGGCCAATCTGTTTTATGGGGTTGGGTGTTGGGTAATAAAAAAAATGTGAGTGAGTTAGGCAATACTAAAGTGTACGAGGAACGATATTTGCTTAAGATTGGGTGGAACCTTGTAAAGAAATGAGGGGAAATTAGTGAGATGGTTTCTTTGTGCACACCAGATTCCAGAAACTTGAAATGCAGAAGTATGAGGAAGTTGGGTTGATTCAAGTTAATGAGACAAGGGCAATTGGAGGTTAAAATAGCATGTAAAGAAAAAGTGAATGGTGGAGAAAACCTTCATGATACGAGGACTTGGTATATTTTGAAAAAATGCATGAAGCTGAACCTAAAGAATTTGTAGGAAAAGTTAGCAAAATAAGAAAACATGGATTATCTCAAATAATCAAAGGAACACAACTTCATATTTGTATGCGTGTTTGCTTGTCCAATCATGTTACCGTTGACTTGTGTGTATGTGGCATATATTTATATTGCTTTTGCTTTGATCATGTTCTCACCCTTCTCTATGATGAATGTCATGTTAGCCATTGAATATGAAAGGTTTTTGACTTCTCAGTCCTCAATGCTTTGTCATTGACTTCTAATTGGATTAGAATATGAGACTGGCTGTAATGTTGTTATTAGCTTTCATTATGAGCTTACAGTATTGTCTTTCAGCGCATCAACGTGCTTATCATTCTCTCTCTCTCTCTCTTCTGGTTTTTTTTTTCTCCCCAGAGAATCAAGCTAGGGCATTTGGGAGAGAAAGAAGTTGTCAGGTAGAAGTAAACGACTTAGAAAGAAGGATGAAAAGCCAAAGAAGTTATGAGCCACCTCCTTACATTCCCTTGGGACAATCAGATTCTGAAGCAGACATTCAGCATAATAAAGATCCTCTCACTCATCACCGTGTTAGTGAGGGGCCATCCCAATGGTCGTCTGGAATCTGTGCATGCTGCGATGATTTGCAGAGCTGTATGCTACTTTCTGCCTTGTGTGCTTGATTTATCAGAAGGAAAAAAAAAATATATGAAGGTGCCTCTTGAGTATAGAAAAAGAAAATATTTTCTTGATCTTTCTACTGCCTTTTGTCTTTGCAGTTGTAGCTTTAAAAGTGTTTTAAGAAAGGCCCGAACACCATTAAAATGTTCTATTAGGTGGTAGAGTTTTTGTGGCTCAAAAGTTGGTTCTAGATAATGATTTCTGAACGACTCGTAATAAAGTGTTAGGTCAATTCTATGATGGGTCTAGCTCTTACATGTGATATCATGGCTAGGCTTTATTAGTAGTCAATTGCTGGTTTTTATGGATCATTTTATGATAAAGCCTAAGTCGTTAAATATGCTCTCAATTGCAAAACACGATAAGCAAAATTCTCATAACTATAGGCTGTCTAGAAATTCATTCAAAATACATCGAGTCAAAGAACTTTCGTACAGAAACTATAGCAGCTGCATTCTGTGAAGCTGGTTAGCCTCTTCTGACAAAATGGTTCAACTGTGAGAAGAATGACCATCTGACTGCTTGCAGAAGCAACTAGGAAGTTAATTGGAGTTCTAACTTCTAAGATTATCTACTTCTGTGACAAAAACTGAGCTCAATTTATTTTCGAAGGCATAGTACAGACTACAGACATGGCTATCTAAATGTTAGGCTCTTTAAAAATAAAGTCTGAAATTTACTGAACTTTGACAGTGCTGAGATGACATGGATGTCATACAAATATAATTATTTAATTCTTAAGAGCAAGAACCTTGTGTGTCTAAGGTTAATTTAGTTCTCAAATGGAGCCTCTAGGAGTTGCATTTCAAATTGTGTTACAAGGTAAGATCTAGAATTTCATGAAGTTTCCAATTTTTCATTAGTCATGTCATCTCGAAATTTCTTGGATTTCATATAGCCGACCCCAATTAAGTTGGGATTAAGGCTTTTTGTTGTTGTTGTTGTTGTGTTGTTGTTGCATGTCATCTCGAAATTTCTTGGATTTCATATCGCTTTACATGTTTGATTGTTCATCTTACTTGGTATTTACTACATGAAGATTACTAATTTTAACTAGAGAAGGTAGTATCAGGCGATCATTGGTATTGTTCCTTTTACATAGTTAATTTCTTAGCTTGAAGTATTTTAAGCGTGGGGCTCGTGACTTTTTTTTGGGCAACTCTTAATGCTCTATTTTACATTGTTACAGAACAGCCATAGAAAACTTCATTCTGTTTTTAACTTGTTTTGCACACCGTTCATTATATATTGTTCCTTCTGCTGGTGTATTAGAATTTCTGCTACTGTATATTTAAGTGTAGCACTAGTGTCTTATCGTATCCCTTCGTTTCTCTTTTTACTCGTCACTGTCTACTATTCATGCCTTCTTGTAGTAAAGCAGTTGGAAAGAGCTTCACTTTTGTTAACTTGTTGCACTAATTCTTCCTCTTCTCTGAGAAACTTGATGTATCCGCCATATAAGCTGCCTAAAGCTATCTGAAATTAGCTGTTGTCAAAAATTTATCAACTAAAAGTTCTCTTAAAACGTGTCCCCTTCCCTCAGACGTCATTTTTTCAGTTGGTTATTATTTATACATGAATTCTGAAGTTAAAACTGCAGTCATATTTCAGAACATTTGGATAATTGTTAGTGGAAGTGTTAGGATCCTTTAATAAAGCTCTAAGCTGTTAGAGTATAGTTAGTAGTGTGGTAGTAGTGCTTAGAAGAGGGAGAATAGTATAAAGAGGAATTAGGAGTTAGGGAGGAGGGAGATTATTTGGGATTTCGAAAAGACTTGGGAGAGTTGGTGATCTCTCGAATACCACCGAAGTTAGGAGTTCTCTGGAGTCCTCAAATACTCCAGTCTATCCATCCATGTTTTCTTTTGGTTGTTCTTGATTTTGGTTTGCAAGAGCTGGAGTTGAAGTTGATTAATAAAAGTTATAATTTTCCTTCCAATTTCTAGTCAATTTTCTGGTTAGAGTGTATGTGTTTGGGGCTGTGAATTCCAGGTACCTAACAGGAAGTGTCTTTATTTTCACGTGTTTCTTGTGAAGATATTCATCTGTGATTCAGTGGATATGTTCCATCAGATTAATAAGGGGAAACTATCACTTGACAGCAGTCTGGCTTTTCCTTCAACAGGTTGTATAGGCTTATTTTGCCCCTGCTTTCTCTTTGGAAAGAATGCAGAATTTCTGGGTTCTGGAACATTGATTGGATCGTGCACGACCCATTTTATTCTGTGTGGACTCCTTAGTACCGTCTGCTGCTTATTAACTGATGGCCTCTTGTTGGGTTTACCTGCATGCTTCGTTGCTTCTTATGCTTGTGGCTATCGCAGGGCTCTACGATCAAGGTATACTCTGCAGGTATGACACCTACGTAATTGTTGGCATTATTGATAACAAAAGGCATCGAATTTTCTTCCTCGTCCCTTTCATCACATGCAATTCTTTCTCCTTGACTATAATTTGAAATTCTTCGGAGCCATGTACTACAAAGATATAACTAAAGCCTCGAGGTTGTATGATGCTAATAAGGTTCTTGCGATGTCTTATTGCTGCGTTGTACAGGAAGCACCATGCGGAGACTTTGTTACGCATCTCTTCTGTCATCTGTGTGCTAATTGTCAAGAATACAGGGAGATCCGTGAAAGATCGGGATCAAGTCCTGATCTTAACCTGGCCATTGTTACAGCTCCGCCAGTTCAGAAGATGGAATCAGCCTCAGAGAGCAACGCCGCCGCCTAGACATTCTCGTGAGCCAGATGAGTGGTATCTTGGCTCAAGTTGTATCATGAGGATTGTCCGTACACTTGTTACATTTTGTTTATGACTTGTATGTCTGTTGATAAGGTGATTTGAGTTTCTTCATTGTACTGGTTTGGCTTATCTTCAACCTATATGTTGTCCCCTTAGCTGTTCGCTTTTACTCGATGCAGAATTCTCAAGGCTCCTTTCTCTACTTTTATTTTCTAATTAAGAAAATATGTAATCTGACAATTTTTACTGCAAAAATTTATTGGGTATTTATGATTTTGTACCTTGTATTTTGAGTTTATCTACACAAAATTCTTTGCCCAAACTTTATATTCAATGTCAAATTCTTACTTTTTCTAGATCAACCACTCATTTTAATTTTTGAACTGACCCTCTTTAGATTATGGTTAAACTTGTATTAAAAAACTAATAAATTTGCTGTTTGCAACTTAACTTGAAAATACTTTTATTATTATTATTTCAATTTTTAAAAACGCTATGCTTAATTCATTTTTTATTACAAGATTGCATATGAGGTATAAAGTTTAAAATTTTCAATTTAAAGATCAAAATTAAATATGTACCAAGAAAAGGTATAAATTGATATGAATTTGAAATATGAAGGTAACGATTTTTTCCCCCCCTAATAACCTAAGGTATCTAGGTGTCACAGGTTGAATTTTAAACTTAAATTGTTTGTCCTATGAAAGCATTAAGGGCTTGTTCTTTTGAGTGAAAAACTCAAAAAAATGTAACTCGAGTTACAACTTTATTCGAGTTCATGTTCTTTTAAGTTTAAACTCTGAGTTTAAACTCGAATTCAAACTCGAGTTTAGGACTAAAACTCGAGTTCAAGTTTTCCCTTCAACTCGAGTTCAGAAACTCGAACTCAAATTAATGAATAGTATTTTTTCTATTCTTAAAAATACTATAACTTTTTCGTTTTAATTCTGATTGAGATGATTTTTTTCTATGCGTTGACAACGAAAAGATGAATAAAATCTGATCCATATACCCTATTAAAATTTTTTTATCAGCATTGAGTTTTTATTAAAATACTATCTAAATACAAATTCAAGTTTTAATTCACTCAAACACAAACTCAAAAAGATTCTTATCTCAAATCATAACTCAAACGTACACAACCAAATACAAGCTCAAGTTATAACTCAAATTCAACTCAAGTTATAACTCAAATTTAATTCAAGAATTATACTCAAATTAAACTCTAAAAATCAGCCACTTGCACACCAAGTATTTAAGGTTCATCCAACACTTAGAATAATAAAAGAAAACAAACTCAGACGAGACAACACAAGCATATACGAGAAAACTCTCAACCTTTTATTAATCTCACATAAAAGGAATACAAATTTGCTGCAGGAAATCACACAAGCTCAACGTGTCCTCTGCCTACACAACTTAAATATTCATAGGCAACCATATATGGTTGACAGCCCCAACCACTTAGGCATTTCGAAGGTAACAAGCTGGAGTCATGGGACACGTGTAACAACTTAGCTAGGCCACCTGTTCGAGCCACTAAGTCCAAAAAGCCACAATCAGAAACTAGTCGTTAGTAGATCTGGTCGTGTGCACTATTATTGGCTTAGTTTAGTAGTACTGTGAATTTTAAAAAAATTATTTTTAGCTGTGTTAAAAGAAAAAGCAGCTGTTATAAAAAGTAGTTGAGTGTTTGGTAAATTATAATTATAGTAGCTGTGTTGATTTCAAAATCAGTAAATAGTGTTTGGTAAATTTTGAGTGGAATTACTATGGGTATGTAAAATGACCAAAATAGACATGGTATGAAACTTAAATATATATAATTGTTTTTAGTATTTAGAAATACTTGTTTAACTTAAAAAAAAAACATAATGTTATGATTTTAAATTTTTTAACAATAAATTTATGATAATTAATTCTCTTTTTTTTCATTTCTTTATTCACACTATAATTACAACTAAAAAGAGCATACTGATAAATTGTCAATCTTGTTAACGTAACAAAATACCATAATTATCAATTTTGGTGAGATTCTTCTAAAAAATCTGCAAGAAATTTTGATGCTATGATTTTGTTGTTACAACTAAAACAACAAAATACAAAAGACACACACGTAAATACAAACATATATATAATATATATCCATCATACACAAAACATACTACAGCTGTTATTGACTTATGCTATTACTCCTAGTTCAGCTCTTTCTGCTTATTGCCCCTCTATGCAAGGCTTCTAAGTATGTTATGCTATGAACAAAGATTGGTTAATACTAATTAAGCCAATGCCTTTCATTCATTTTGATTACAAAAATGAGCTGATAATTGTTTTTCACTTTTGCAGAGTATCTCCTATGGGTATGATATTCATTCCATGCTACAAAGGTTTGACCTTTCTCCCTTACTACAATCCACAATTTGAAAATGCCTCTTAATTAACACTAACTTGGTTTTGCAGGTTACAGCCATAAGCCTGAAGAATTTTCCTCCATTGATGGCATATCTATTGGGGTTAAGGTCTTAGCACTTACCCTTGCCAAGTTGTCAATCTAATGAAGCACCCCTTGTAATTAAACTAGAAACAGACCTTTTATAGGCAGTCTGAATAAAATCCTTTCTGTGTGAATAATTTGAATAAAGTCATTTTCTTTCTCATTGGCATTGAAACAAAATTGGAAAACATTTTTGCAGTCTCATTCTGTGTGTCTTCTTGTGCTTATTTGCTGTTCAAAATTGAATTTCAGTGAACATGAGAGAGAGAGAGAGAGAGAGAGAGATGAAAAGAACTTGGTATTTATTTATGTACTATCGCGCCAACAAGAAATGACAGAAACAGACATCAGAAACTTTGATCCCAGAATGTCTACTCCGATCAGAACAGAAATGGTAGCACTAAGAAGGACATCTGTTCTATCAGAATGTCTACTCTAGTCTAATTCACTTGACTATACTACTAATAGCATCTCCAATTCGCATTCAAATTTTACAAGGAAACAGAAAATCAGAAACTTTTTGATTCCAGAATTATAACTCCTGTTGGTTTCTGCTAAAAATCTGAAGCTAGTAAATCAGCATTCTTCTTAGTTTGATGTTGCAGCAATAGCTGAGCTCTCCTCCAGCTTATCAGCTTGCCCAAGCAGAGTCTCAATCTACAAGAATCAAAGGCGAGAAAAATCAGAAAAGTTTCAATTTTATAGCAAAACAAATGAAAAGGGAATTTCCAATTTATAATATTAAAGTTCACAAAATAGCAACCTGAGCCTTCATAATCATCCGGACTTTCTTTTCGTCCTTGGATTTAGCAACAGTGGATGTGCTTATGTCTGTCGCATTTCCCAAACGACAACAACCATATTACATTAGACAGGAAGAAAATAAATATGCCATTTAACCAAAGTATAAAGGCTCACAAGGATAAAAAAACCAACTGAAAAGAAAACGAGTAACTGAATAAATGAATATATGCAACCTCTTTTACATTTGTCCGTGAGTAGGAAAAAAAATCGGAATGTAAAGTAGATAAAAATCATATAACAAACATCTTATATGAAGTAGACAATTCATTCAAAATTACAAAACATGTTTACCCTTTTTCACGGCAGCAAGCAACAACTTCGTGAAGCCAAGAAGCAACACCGGGAAAAGAACTCTTGAAACTTTGAATTTTTTCCTTAGCATCAACTGGACTGCATCAGCTTCTCCTCCATTTTTATCATTGTTGATTTTGACGGCAACCATATGTTCAACACACTGCATTAACATAATTAAATATTTACAAAAGTAATATATACAGATTTCAACTTGCAACTCCTTCAGAGTTTAAAGAATAAAAGAACAAAGAGAGAATGAAATGGGGAAAACCCACACCTGGAATAATAGGATGCTCATGCCTGAAACCAAACCAAAAGCTGCCTAATGCATTTCTTGGAAAACATAAGAATGGAACAACCCAATTCCTTAAAACATGGCATGCATGGAAAGAACAAAATACAAAATACACACACATGAATACATAAATAATATATCCACACACACACACGTAAATACAAACATATATATCCACACACCACCTATAAACCTACAAATACAAACTTAAGTCCTATAAATACACATGTATATACCTACAAACTTAACTCAAATGAAAAGAATTAAGTCGTATTCATTAAGCTTATTGCAATTTGACCTCGTACTTCACCCATTTTCAGTGATAGTAAAGCTTCATTCTCTTCTACATTATTGTCATCTGGTTGATTCTCTTCATAAACGAAATTATCTAGATTATCCTCGACTCTTTGAAAATGTAGATCACGCTTATGATGCTTCCTAATGTAGTTATGGAGCGCCATTGTAGCAATAACTATTTTCACTTGCTTTGCAAACGGATAATTTGGCATGTATTTCAAAATTTTCTATTTTTTCTTCCAGACACCAAATGTGCGTTCAATGAGACTTCGAAGAGAAGAATGTGCTTGGTTAAATACCTCTACAGCCAGTTGGTCGACGACCCATTCAAAATTGTTCTAAATGGTATCGTTCTCCTCTATAAGGTCCAAGAAATCCTTTTAATTGTGGATAACCCGCGTCAACTAAATAGTATTTACCTATTGAGATACAAACACAAAAACTTAGTAAATTATAAAACAGAGTTCTCATGAATATAGAAGAGGTTTTAACCTTCTGGTGGTTTTGAGAACTTCAAACTTGTACGACGTAGTGTTGCTAGAATATTCTTGTATCATGAGCACTACCTTCCCAACTTGCATATGCATATGTAAATTTCATATTGAAATCACAGGCATCCATCACATTTTGGGTTGGCACACGCTTTCTACCAATAAATGGGACTTGATCTTCTGGTCGTATTATAGCTAGAACATGTACACCATCTATTGCACCAGTACAGTTCTAAAAAGAAGAAAGTTCTATGTTTAAAATGAATACTTTAAATAAGGAATGAAGCATATTAAGAACTAAGAGAATACCTTAAAATGAGGCATATATCTACAATCCACTAATATCTCTTGAGGCACTCCACTAAACTCTGGATCATCAGGCTTTATAACATCCATACTCATACGACAAACAATGTCTAAAAGATACTCAAAATATCTACTAATTGTTTCACCAGAGTGTTGAAATCATTCTTGTGTTGAATGATTTCCCACACCCTGACCTAAAATGAACAAAAACATTCTGACTATTTCAAATACGGACATATTTCTTGATCCCTGTAATCCGTAGTTACATTGCAAATCATTACATAGGGACATAAACACAT